TCGCATCCTCTCCTTCGCGAACGTGTAATAGGAAACCAGAAAAACATAGCAGCAGATATCAGTTATCTCTCAAAGGCCAAAAATGATCCGTTAGCCATCCGAAACTCACCCGAGACCCTCAGAACCTCAACAAAACATACCAACACATCCCAAAATATCATAAGAACTTTGTCGAATCCTAAAATCACCTTCAAAAATGAATTACGCACGGATTCAAGCCTCATGAACTTTGAAATTTCTAAATTCTACAAACGATGTCAAAACATACCAAATCACGTTTGATTGGCCTCAAATTTTGCACAAAATTTTGCACACAAGTCATAAATAACACCACAGACCTAGTCCAACTTCCGAAAATCCAATCTGACCCTGGTATCAAAAAGTCCACTCCTGGTCAAACTTTTCTAAATGTTCAACTTTCGGCATTTCAAGCCTAATTCTACAACGGACCTCATAAACACAATCCAGACGCGCTCCTAAGTCCAAAATAACCTAACAGAACCATAAAAATTCAAATTCGAGGTCATTTACACTTAAGTCAATATTCAGTCAACTTTTCCAACTTGAGCTTTTAAATAAGAGACTAAGTATCTCAATTCACTCTAAAACCTCTCCGGACCCAAACCAACCAACCCGGTAAGACATAATGCAGCTGAAGAACACTAAAAAACCAGCGAAATAGGGGAACATGACTACAACTCTTGAAATGACCGGCCGGGTCATTACAATAATGGTCCGCTGTCTTTTTAGTACCCCCATCTCATAAAAGATAATTATGAGAAATGGTGTCTACGTATGAATGTCATTCTTGGATCTCAGGATGTGTGAAAAATTGTAGATAGAGGGTAGGAAAAACCCGATAATGAGGAAATTCTACCTCAAAATGAGAAAGAGGTCTTGGCAAAGACAAGAAAGAAGAATTAACAAGCCCTCATACTCATCCACCAATGTTTGGATGATGCCATGTTTGAGAATGTGACAGATGTTATCACCTCAAAGGAAGCTTGAAAGATTTTACAAAATGCTCTTTAAGGAGTTGACAAGGTGAGGAAGGTAAAATTACAAACTCTAAGGACTGATTTTGAAGTTTTAAAAATAAAAAAATCTGAATGCATTTCGGATTATTGTTCAAAAGTGAATGTTGTTGTAAATAAATTGAGAAGATACAGGGATGACATAGAAGATGTCCGTGTGGTAGAAAAGATCCTTCACATTTTAACACCTAAATTCNGGTAACAACTTCAACAATGAAGTTAAAATCCACCAAACATTCAGAGGTCGTGGTCGTGGACAAATAGGAGGAAGAGGATGTGGATACTACCAAGAAAATAATGGAAAAATGTATGATAAATAAAAAATTAAGTGTTATATTTGTCATAAATTTGGCCATTACTCTTGGGAATGTCATAGCAATGTTGAAGAAAAAGCTAACCTTGTTGACGGCAAGAAAGAAGAAGATGAGTCAACATTGTTACTAGCACTCAAGGAAGAAGACATGGATGATTGTAGCTCGTGGTATTTGGACAATGGAGCAAGCACTCATATGTGTGGATGCAAACAGAAGTTTGTGGAGATCAATAAAATGGTGAGAGGTAATGTATCCTTTGGAGATACCTCAAAGATTCAAATCGAAGGGATAGGTACGGTTCTGATCTCCTGTAAAAATGGTGGCCACAAGTTAATTCAAGATGTTTATTATGTCTCAAAATTAAAAAGTAATATTTTGTATTTGGGCCAACTTCTTGAAAAAGAATATGACATCCACATAAAAAAATATGCATCTTTGGCTTAGAGATTCAAGTGAAATTCTAATTGCTAAAGCGCATATGGAAAAGAATAGATTATTTTCTCTGAATCTTAAGACAATTGATGCAAAGCGTTTGAACGCTAATGTGCAAGATGAATCATGGTGTTGGCACAGGCGATTTGGGCACTTCAATTTTGAAGCGCTCAAATCAATGGGAGAATATAACATAGTGCATGAGATACTATCAATCAACTATCCCAATCAATTGTGTGAAACTTGTCTTCTTGGAAAACATGCAAGGAGGAGTTTTCCAAAGGATGCCATGTCAAGATCAACCAAACCGCTCCAGCTTATTCACAATGATGTGTGTGGACCAATCAATCCACTTTCCCTTGGTAAAAGTAAATACTTTCTTCTTTTCATTGATGACTTTAGTAAAAAGACTTGGGTTTATTTCTTGAACCAAAATATGAAGTTTTTGTTGCTTTTAAAATTTTAAAGTACTTGTGTAAAAAAAAAGTAACTATGAAATAAAAGTTTTAAGATTCGATAGAAGAGGCGAATTCATTTCAAAAGAATTTAATGACTTCTGTTAGTCTTATGGAATTCGTCGCCCTCTAAGGTACCTTATTCACCCCAACAAAATGGAGTTGCAGAGAGAAAGAATCGAACGATTCTTAATATGGCTAGATGTATGTTGAAAGCTAAAAGTATGCCCAAGGAGTTTTGGGCCGAAGCTGTTTCTTGTGCAGTTTATTTGAATAACAGGTCTCCAATAAGAAATATTAGAGATCAAACCNGCCCTCTAACGGTACCTTATTCACCTCAACAAAATGGTGTTGCAGAGAGAAAGAATCGAACGATTCTTAATATGGCTAGATGTATGTTGAAAGCTAAAAGTATGCCCAAGGAGTTTTGGGCCGAAGCTGTTTCTTGTGCAGTTTATTTGAATAACAGGTCTCCAATAAGAAATATTAGAGATCAAACCCCTCAAGAAGCATGGAGTGGAAGAAAGCCAAGTGTTAAGCACTTGCGAATCTTTGGTAGCATAGCCTATGCTCATATGCCATACCAAGGGAGAAGAAAGCTTGACGGTCAAAATGTCAAGCATGTATTTGTTGGCTATGATACGAGTTAAAAAGACTACAAGTTATACAACCCAAGTAGCGGCAAAGTGGTGGTAAGTCGCGATGTTGAATTTGACGAACAATTGACATGAAATTGGGAAGCTTAAAAAGAAACTTCATATGATTTTCTTCCATACTTTCGTGATGAAGAAGAACTAGAGATCGTGGAACATGTGCAGGATACAACTCTACCTCTTTCTCCAACCAATGTTACATCTCCCTCTTCTCAAGAAAGTTCAAATGAACAACCGCAAAGGATAATGAGTATTCAAGAGCTCTATGAGGACAGAAAAGAAGTTACTAATTTTGATTTTTTATATTGTATCTTTGCTAACAGTGAACCAATAAACTTTGATGAAGCTGTTACAGACAAAAGGTGGAGATAAACCATGGAGGAACAAATCGACTTAATAGAGAAGAACAACACTTGTGAGTTAACAACTCTTCCCAAGGGTTATCGAGCAATTGAAGTAAAATGGGTATTCAAGACAAAGAAGAATGTTGATGGAGATGTGGAGAGATATAAGGCATGACTTGTGGCTAAAGGCTACAAGCAAAGGCAAGACATTGACTATGATGAAGTCTATGCACCTGTTGCCAGAATGGAGACGATTCGCTTGCTGATCTCTTTAGCGGCACAAATGAAGTGGAATATCCATCAGCTAGATATCAAGTCAGCCTTCTTGAATGGATATCTTGAAGAAGAAGTCTATGTCGAATAACTATTGGTCTTTGTATAAAAATCATGAAGCTATAGTGCTGAAGTTGAACAAAGCTTTATATGGATTGAAGCAAGCCCCGCGAGCATGTAATGTTGCATCGACAAGTATTTTCAAGACAATGGGCTTACTCGTTGTCTCCATGAATATGCTTTTTACTTTAAAGTTCATACTAGTGGAGATATCTTGTTTGTTTGTTTTTATGTTGTTGATCTTACTTTCACGAGTAATGACCCAAGTCTGTTTTAATCTTTTAAGAAAGATATGTCCCGTGAGTTTGAGATGACGAATGTAGGGCTCATGTCATACTACCTGGGCCAAGAAGTGAAGCTGATGGAGGATGGAATTTTTCTCTCTCAAGAAAGCTATACAAAAGAGATATTGAATAAGTTCAACATGCTCGATTGCAACTCCATAAACACACCGATGGAGAATGAGGCAAAATTGTCCAAGTTTGATGAAGGAGAAAAAATGGATCCCACATTTTTCAAAAGTCTTGTGAAAAGTTTGAGGTACTTAACTTGTACCAGGTCAGATATACCCTTTGCAGTTGGATAGGTAAGTCGCTTCATAGAAGCTCTTACATCCACTCACTTGAAGGTTACTAGAAGAATTCTTCGTTACCTAAAAGGTACGGTCGACTTTGGGTTATTTTATTCTTCTTCTAGTGATTTCAACCTTATGAGATATTGTAATAGTGATTGCGTGGGAGATATTGATGATAAAAAAAGCAACCAGTTTTGTGTTTTTCTTAGGTGATTATGTTATTTCTTGGAGTTCAAAGAAACAATCCATAATTACTCTCTCGACTTGTGAAGCCAAATATGTAGCAACAATATCATGTACCTGTTATGCTATTTGACTAAAAAGATTATTGAAGGAGCTCAATTTGCTACAAATTGAAGCTATAGAGATTTGTATTGATAACAAATCCGCACAGGCACTCGCCAAGAATTCAGTGTATCATGATCGAAGCAAGCATATAGATACAAGGTATCACTTCATCAGAGAATGCATTACCAAGAATGAAATCGAGCTCAAATATGTGAAGTCTCATGATCAAGATTTAAATATCTTTAAAAAGCCTGTTAAGTTTGAGAATTTTCAAAGATTGAGATCAAGTCTAGGAATGAAAAAGAAAAATTAAAATTAAAGGAGATATTTGTGGGGCCCATATTGAAGAAAACAAAAAGAAAAGAAGAAATAATGGGATGGTAGACGCCTACAATCTCATACTTACAAATTGAAAAGTTACCAAAACTCATTTTGGTTGGTTAAATGAAAGGCAATTGTGGGTGCCTAACTTGTTGACAAATTGTAGGAAAATTTCAAATGCAAATTGCACGACCAAATCAACAACAAGCCAATTTTATTGGCTATTTGGACGACAACTCTTGCTATAAATATAAACTTTTGTTCTTCCTTTCAATACACCAAAATAAGAGAGAAGTGTTAGAGCTGTAAGAGTAATCCACAGACTATTTTAGAGTGGGAGTAATATTATGGTGAGATATTTAAAATAAAAAGTGTTATTTTTTTTTGAGTCGTAATAGTCTTTTAACACTACAAAATTGTAATATTATAATGATATTATACTGTTTTTCTCGAATATTTGACCCGATTAAAAGATTTGGTATCATTATTACTCTCTTATGTTATTATTATTTACCGTGGATATTATTCCGGTACGGAATATATATTTATTTTCCCAACACTTAATGCATGTACAGAAAAGATTGACTGACTCTGTGGACGTATTCCAAAAAGATTCTTATTTTTTTTTCATTTCATGCCTCTCCTGCTTTTCTACTTTTGGTTATAGTAGTTTTTTTTCCATGTGGTTACTCTTTGTTTCTCTTGCTTCAAAATAAAATATGGGCATCTTTAGCTTTTGGGTGGCTTCTTGTTTGATTTTATGCATATATGTCTGAAATTCGTTTTAGCGATCGAGGCAGTGATGATATTAATTTGCTTATCTAGGTATGAAGTTATTTGGAAATCGTATCAATCGAACCTGTATATGAGTTGGCTTGGAAAACCTAGATGAAATATGATCTGAGGCTTCTCTGTCACTTGCAACAGGTTATTTTGCGGCCATGGCGTGGTCTCCTGCTCTTTGCCTCATTAGATATATAGCGTAGACAAATGGTCCTTCTAGACATTGTTTGATGGAAACTATTTAATTCTTCTGAACTCCGCTCATAGATAGGCCTTAATATAAAATGGGAATTACTACTTATTTATTTACATTTCTTCAATTTTGCCGGTAAACGAATGATTTCTTGCTGGAAGAAATTAACAATGCTTAGCTCTTTCTATGTCTCTGGTGAAGGTTCTTCGTCGTCCATTATGGCACTTCAGTAAAAAAAAAATTAAAGTGAGGCTTATTTTTTATCCTTCCTACTACTGTGATTCCACGTGTTAATTCTGAAAGTATCTGCCTAAAACTTTTGCTTCTGAAGATGCACGTTGATGTTATTGATTTCCTTTTGTAATTTATTTTGTTGGAATATAACAGTTACAAAATTTTGATTTTAAAGATTTTTGAAAGTGCAAGTTGCGCAAGGTATAAAGAGACACTTCCTCGAGTGTAAGAGGTAATTTATGCACTCTTTTATTCTAATGTCATATGCATAGTTGTAATGCTAAATGGTTGTGCTTTATATTTCATGTTATACCGTATATATGAGTGTACTTTAGGAATAAATTAAAGATTATAAAATTTAAACTTTATGTGATGCCCATGATGATGGTCGGGCCGATGAGGGGATCAAGTAGGACTGGCAGACTTCTAGGATGACAAACTTAACTATAAGGCATGAGTTAAATTCACATGGTACGCACAGATTTAGGGCTCGAGGTGGCGTAGTCCAAAAAAATAAATCTGTGCTGGCGTAGGTCCAAAGTGGACAATACGTGTCATGGGCTTGGGTCGTGACAAATATGATATCTGAGAATATGACGGTTAGCCCCTCGGCGCTTGGGAGGCATCCTATTTAATAAAGATNTCTTAGGGCCCTCCGTCTTCAGAACGGTCCGCCTGGCCACTATGAATGAATATTACGTCAATAGAGTAAGTTGTTCTTTAAGTTGTGCCCTTAACACGAAGCTAGGGCAGCGATGCGAAGGCTTGTGAGTGCATTAAGTAAATTAAACAGATACTAGCTGGTCTGAATTGTGCAGGATCGAGCCCTGGCCTTGGAAGCCATCCATTCAAGCCTTCCCAGTCCTTTTTTATTGTTTTTTGATCGGACTTTCTAAATCCATATGGTATGATATGGCTTTCAAGCTTCTTAGCCTGGGTTTGTGTGAAGCATGAGAACATGTTACCCTCAGTATGGTGGTGGGGCAAACTTCAGCGAGGACGCTGAGTCCCAAGAGGGGGTGAATGTGATGCCCATGAAGGAGGGTGAGCCGATGAGGGCGGGTCAAGCGCTGGCAAGCTTCTTAAGAAGAGGTGAACATATCACCTTAGGCAAATCCGACATCGGAATGAGAGAAGAAAGTGAAGAGCTATATAAGGCATGAGTTAAGCCCATATGGTACTCGCACTTTGGGGCTCGAGGTGGCATGGACCAAAAAGATAAATTTGTGCGGGCCTAAGCCCAAAGCGGACAATACATGCCATGGACTTGGATCGTGACACTTTAATAAAGAACTTCATGAATCAATGAAATGTTTGCAAAACAGATGCTTAGCAGTAAAATGAAAGTATTGAACTACAATAATATGAACTTTTCTTTCTCTGTCTGTATCCATTTTCACTGATAATGAAGTTTTCAATGTCAAACTCTGAGTATATGAGAAGACTAAGACCCGAGAAATTGTAATGGAAACGAAACAACAGAGGTTTATGATGAAATTTTTTAAATCTTTTCTACTAGGTAATCTCTTCTGAAGTATGTACTCCTATTTTGTTATTGAAAGATGGAAACTGTAGTTTCACTTATTAATTTTTACAAGTCCTAAATGTATTGTTGACAGAAATTAAAAGTTACAGTATGTCACAAAGTCGCAACTCAATGCATATCACTTTTTTGGTACTGGAAGAGAGATTTCATAAATTAAAGCTAGAGATAATACTTTTTAATTCATGGCTAAAATAGTGAATGCTAAATGAAATTGTTGAAACAAGTGAAGATCTGATATTTGAGTTTTTTCTTATGGTAGTACCATTCTTTCATCCCTTTAATTATACCTTTAATCGTGTAAACACAAACTATATCACTTTTTAAGGGACATATATCATCACGAACTTTGCTTCATTATGAAAAACTAAAAATGGCGGACAAGAGATTTTGTCACCTTCTTTGACTTTCTTGAACATCTAGTTCTTATCTTGATCTGCCCAATAATTTCAAATGAAAATATGCTGCTACTCGCTCTAGGTAGACAAAAGACTTGCATTTTTTCCCCGTTTTTCAACAGTTAATGACCTAATTTAGTAAATTGCTAGAACATAAAAAGTTCAGTAACAACTATAATTTTGCAGTCCATTCTCAAATGTCAATTCTGATCCCAAATTTGAAGCATATTTGTCTAGATGCTAATTGAAATATAGTTAAAACAGATAAAAGGCTTGGAATCTCTTAGAGTTTTCGTAAAGGGTTTGTGCAAAAGGAAATCAGAACAGATGATTTTTCTTCATTAGCTGAAAAACAAGAGTGAGAATCTAAAAACTGAAGTTAATAAGAGTATTCCAAGAACTGTGAAAGCCAAGATAGACCTTTTAAAGATAGCTTTAAGAAATTTGCATCTAATGCAAGAGGTAGAATAAGCTAAGAAAAAGTTGAAGGATGTTATAGAGTTGGAGTAGAGCCTGCTCTTCCTTGATACATAGTATATGTTTTATACGATTTTTTTGTTTCAACTTACTTGGTGCTTCAATGTGCTTGCATTTATGTCCTCACAGGATGATATTTGGCGTTGTAGTTCATTTATTAGTGTATATGTTTCTTTTAATAAATCCTCCTGAGGAATTAACCTTGGAATTTATTATAAAAAGGCCTGGTATAATTACATTTTTGACATGAAAGTGACAATTTTCTCAGCAAAAATAAATATTAGTTGAATGCATTAAAGCAGAATCAAAGGAAGATAGAAAATGTACTTGAAAATGCTAGGTACCAGTGCAAATTAATGATATTAGGGAGTATTTTCACCTAGATGTCCAGTTTAAAGGAAAACTGCACTAGAACTAGAAATATTTGAATTTTTAAAAAGGGGGGAGGGGGAGTTCTTTTTTAATGGACAAGAAAACATAGAGTAATTTCAAGATTAAACTAAATTGTTGGGTCAATCAAAAATGGTAAATTTAATATCTTGGTGTCATTATGATATGTGTAAAATCAAATGTTAATAACTTTTTTGAAGTGAAGTAAGTATTACTTGTACTAGGAGGGTTGGTAATAAAACAATTATAAATACTCTTAATTATGAAAAAGGTAATTTTTGCTCCATATATTGAAGGAATTGGCATTTGGCAACATATGTTATTGTGGGTTAGATAGAGTTGATTGGCCTTTATTTTTGCATTTTATCGCTACTTAACTTGAATGGTGTCACGATCCAAACTAACTCTATTGTGACGGCGCCTATTGTGGTACTAGGCAAGCCGACACATTATCAAAACAAATCGATAGTTTTGTTTTTTTTTCCACGACAAATCCAAAGCTATATAATACAAAACCTTAAATAAGGAGTTCAAATCAAAACAAAAGTACGGAAAAGAAAGTCCGACATCGAAGTGTCACTAAGTCATGAGCAACGACTACAACTGTTCTGAAAATAGCAAGACTAACATAGTCTGAGAATAACCAAAATATACTAAATGGAAGATAAAAAAGGAGAAAAGAAGGACTGCGATCGCCAGGCAGCTACATTACTATCTCCGATGATCCACTACCGAGTAAATCAACAACCGCTACCGTGGCCAGAGATAGTTGGATCTGCACACAAGATGCAAGGGTAACGTGAGTACACCAACTCCGTAAGTAACATGTCAAAACTATGGACTGATAGGTAGTGACGAACTTAAACTCAACATGTAACAGAAATAAACTGTGCAGAAAAGTAGGCATGCTTTCAATTCAAGTATTCAGCTCAAGCAGTAAAGTAAACACAGATCTGGACAATGTGAAGTATAAAGCTCAGCTAATCTCTACGTGCTAATGCACATAATGTATGAAAATCTACCATGTACCTCCACTCTCAAGTGCCCAACTACTCGGTACTGTATATGGTCATCCAACCTAGGGAAGATCCATCCCCGAATATCTACACATCACTGACAACAATCACTCAGTACCGAGGAAGGCCATTCCAGCCCGGTGGAGAAGATCCATCTCCAGGTATAAATGCTTCGGACAAGATCCATGTCTAGGGAAGATCCATCCCTCAATAATATCAACTGCATTTACTGGGGGTGTGTTACAGACTCCGAAGGGGCTCCTACAGTCCAAGCGCTATCATAATCATCAACATAACAGCTGCAGTGTGCAACCCAATTTCATAACTATCACTCATGGAATGAACTAGGTCCCGATTCTCACGGTGCATGCCCGCACGTTCGTCACTTGACATGTGCGTCACCTCAATACTAATCACATAACACATAGTTTGAGGTTTCAAACCCTCAGAACCAAGTTTGGAAGCGTTATTTACCTCAAACCAAGCCAAAATCCTGCTCTGCGATGCCCTTGCCTCTCGAATCGGCCCTCAAACATCCCGAATCTAGCCAAAAGCAATACAATGCAATTAATACAGATCAAGGAACCAATTCCACAAGAAAAATTACTTAATTGGACACAAATTTCAAAATTCACTCAAACCCGGCCCCCGGGACCACGTCTCATAATTCGATAAAAGTCACAAAACTAGAAATCCCATTCACTCACGAATCCATACATACAAAATTTATCAAAATCCGATTCCATTTGGTCCCAAAAATCCTCAAATCAACTCTGCAAATCCTCAATTTTCTCTAAGTTACTTGAGTACTAGAGCTCAAGTAACTTACCTCACTGAAAACCCCTTGAATCTCCCTTCAAAATCACTCTAAAAGCTCCAAAACACGTCTTCAAAATGGTGGAAATGAGAAAAATTCGCGAAGTCTTCAATTTATAGGTTCTGCCCAGCAAAACTGCATCTGCGATAAAATACATGCTTCTGCGACGCCGCACCTACGTAAAATCCGTCGCAGGTATGGATTCCACTTACTCCCTCAAAATCCGCATCTGCGGTCAAAATATCGCACTTGCGGTCTCGCAGGTGCGCTCCAAATCTCGCACCTGGGCTTCCAGTCCAAACCACTCATGCCCGCATCTGCGACTACCCAATTGTACCTGCGACCTCGCACCTGCGGCTCCCCATCTGCAGGTGCGGAAACACCAGCAACTTCAGAATTCAGCAGCAACAACTATCTCCCAATACCAAAAACAATCCGTTAACCACCTGAAACACACCTGAGGCCCTCGGGACCTCAACCAAACATATCAAAAAGTCATATATCCACATACAAACTTAGTCGAACCTTCGGAATACTCAAAACAACATCGAAATACCAAATTATCCTCGGATTCAAGCCTAAGAACTTCTAAACTTCCAAATTCCGCAACCGACGCCGAAACCTATCAGATCACCTTCGAATGACCTGAAATTTTGCACACACGTACAAAACGACTCCACGAACCTACTCCAACTTCTGTAATTCCATTCCGACCCCGATATCAAATTTTTCACTGCCGACCAAAATCGCCAAATTTTCAACTTTCGCCAATTCAAGCTTAATTCTACCACGGATCTCCAAATCACATTCCAGATGCGTTCCTAAGTCCAAAATCATCTAAAGGAGCTAATCGAACCGTAATAATGCAAATCTGAGATCGTTTACTTTGCTAATGTTTACAAAGAGGATTCTTCCTATGAAATAATTGCTCACTCTTGGTTTGTTCTTGAAATTGGTTGTAACATATAATTCAATAAAGTGCAGTTTTGATTTATAGTTTGAATTATGTAACCTAATTGATGTATGGTGTCAGTGTTTTGTTGTTGGACCCATGCTCAGTACAAGCAACCTTTCTTTAGAGCATAAATATGTATTAATGTGAGACTTTTATGAATAAAAAATATTATAAAAAATTTCATGTTTTGACATCTATGAAAAAAGTTCACATTAGATCATATTTTTTAAGTTATATGCATAAATATATTTCATGCCAAATATTTCATGAATAAAAGAACATTCAAAAGCCTCTTAATAACACGGACCTAAACCAAATACAAAAGATCAATTATCACTTCTAGCCATCCGGGAAAAATTAATGATAATCGATAGCGACAAATACACCATACAATTCATAGCCCAAAACCAATTACAAGGGCTAGCAATCGCAACTAAAAAACCAGCAGCCGCCTAACCTTTTTGTAAAGTATCTGAAAAAAATATTTACATCAGTTTGAACTTCCTTTTGCATTTGGGAGCCTTAGTTTTTTCTTCAATTCCTCTTACGTCCATAAAAAAGTTCCTTTTAGGTTTAGAATATTTTTTTTTGTTTGTTTGTTATGACATATGGAAAATCATTAATTTTTTTAAGTTTCGAACACTTTCATCTCCTTTTATGTTTTAGATTTCTTTTTCTTTATTTGGGTAAAATTTGAACACTTTCACCTCTGCAACTTTCAAACTCTTCCTATTACACATAAATTATAATCTTTTTTATCTTTTACTAAGAGCCTAAATTTTTTATTGATCTGATCTAAAAAATATATGATACTGCATAAACAAAAATATTCATGATATAAGAAGAAAAAGAAGAAGGTGATGTATATGTTGTACACACAGTATACATACTTTACACTAGTATAAAGTGTATATACACTTTTTAAACGTCATAAATAATATATACACTTCTTATGCATTGTAGAATAATATATATACTTTTTATATATCGTA